TAACAAGAAACATCAATCACTCCCTGGAGAGGTTTCCTTCTTCGGCTTTAGGCTCAGAAGAATCAGGATGAGGGACTACTTTGCCCTCGACCACCCGAGACAAACCCCAACCGCCTTAGTATTGAGCTCTGGATTCAATACGGCCAGCTGAGTCATCACGGTCTCAAAACCATTGGTCATCGCTTCTACGTAGTCCGACTCAAGAACCTGAATTTGAGCGACTAACTCTGAACAGGTTATCAAAATGGAAATCTAGTTTGGCTCATCTTCATAAGGCACTGCGATAGCCTTCAAGTTGGAAACCTCCTCCTCTAGACTTTTCTTGTCAAGCAGTAATGAGTTCCTTTCCTCGAAAATTGTGGCTGCCTTTTCTTTCTCCTTTTTCAGCTCATCAGATTGAGTCCGGAATTTTCCCTCGCTCTCCTCGAGGGTGGCCTTCAATTTTTCACCTTTTCTTGGAGATCTATTTTCTCTAACTCTAGCTTACCCACCATAGATGAGGAACTGGCCCCCTTACCTGAGAGGACCACTGCCATCTCTAAAACCTTCATCACACCGACTATGCTCACGGCCAGATGATTTTTCCTCTACTCCTCGTCGAGCCGCATGATAATGTTGGTATTCAAGATATTCAAATTTTCTAAACTTGGAGACATTTTAGGAAAGTTTTGATTGATGACCTATTTTCTTGGAGAATTTTTTCCAGACTTTGTGAAGTCTCCTTGCTGCGTTTTTAAAGCCCAAAACCATTTGGGAAACAGGTTATAAATAGAAATGTTTGTAACCTAGGAAAGGAACCAATCGTGAATGTAAAGATATAGTCATTAGGGATGAGTTTGTACCACTCTCTAGGAGAGTTGGTTGTGTGTTCCACTCGGTTGTGAGTTGCACTGATGTTATAGAGTTGTAGTCTCTATTATTGTTCTCCTCAAAGATGTGAAGCAAGAGTGAGTATTGTTCTTGGAGGAAGATTTTAAGCAACTCCAAGTTGTGTTCTTAGTCAATAGTCTTGGCTAGGCATTTTCATAGAAGTATGTCTTCTCGCCATGGAAGTGTGTCTTCTATTTTTGTCATGGAAGTGTGTCTTCCTGTTTTATCCAATCGTTGTCTGTGATTGATGAAGGATTGAGGAGAGCCTCATATCTAGGTGAGTCTTAGATAGAAAGTTAGCATGGATAGTGATTAAGTGAGAAGTTATAAGGGGAGTTTATCTTTGGATTGATACTATTATAGTGGATTTTATCCTTGGCTTGGTATTCCCCAAAGTAGGAGAGTTACTCTGAACTGAGTTAACAATTTATGTATGTTGTTTATGCTTTTCAGTACTATTTTTATTTTTATACCTTGCCATATTTGTTTTAGTTGGATTCAGATGTCTTAACATGTCATAAGACATCTGAAGTCTGACATACAAGAATTTCACTATCGAAAAACTTATTGAGAACGTCAAAGGCGTCCTCATCCTCGTCGCTCATATGAACAACATAGATGAGGTAATAATGCAACTTGTGATTGTAATGTCCTCGACACCAATAGAGAGGAAATTTTGATAGCATCTCTATTTTTGGGTTTCGGTCCTCGTCGTAGAAAACCTCCCCTTGCTCATCGACAAGAGTGGCTGGATCAAACACTGAATCGACGGCCTCTTGAGACACAGGCTGAATGATGTACCATTTTTCCTTGAAGTCGCGGACATAATCCATATACATCTTGAACAACCTCTTAGATTTCTTAAAAGATACCTAACTATGATTTCCCCTTTTAGACTCATTGAAGATGAAAACACCTGAAGAACAGGGGAATCATGGCCCCAATCTTAAGATACCGACACATGATCTCAAATTCCCGTATAAAGGCAATCACATTCAGATGCAACTGGGAAGGCGCTAAAGACAAGTGAATGAAGATATTGATTTGAAAGTCACTGAAGGGAAGATGAAGCCCCAAATATTTGAAGATGATCGCATACATGGGGAAATGATCCTTTTGGAAACACAAGCATATTCTGGTTGTGGAATTCGGGCGGTAGATTTTAAAGTTCCGTTGAAAACCCTCTTGATCGTTGGTGTATTCGACAACCGTATACGCTTCCCTCCGGGTAGTGCCGTAGAGTGAGGTTATTCCCCAGGGACAGACCAAGAACAACGCCGTGTCAATGATAATGTCGACTAACTGGAGACCCTCGTCTTCTCCGCTTACCTCGCCTGCCTTGACCTGCTCGACTATCTCGGCCACCTTGACTGGTTCAGCCATATCACCTGAAAAGAAGAGGAAACTAGTGAATTCGACGGTCAAATCAAAGCCACCCTTCCACCGTAAAACAAGTGAAAGGGGTGTCTTCTACCAAATCATTACTCGATGAAACCATTTTAACAAGCCCTCATTTAGCAGGTAGCGGGCAAACCCATGAGTTCTGTGAGGAACCCATGAATCCCGCGAGGAAGCCAATGATTATCGCGAGCAAACTCATGAATTCCACGAGGAACGAATGAATCTCACGGGCGAGTTCATGAGTATTGCGGGGAGGTATCATCCCAGAACACAGAGTTCTTCAAAATTCATGAATCTCGCGAGGAGACGCGTGAATATCCCAAGGAAAAACCCCCAGAACGTGAATTTCATAGGGAATACCGCTCCCAAAGCATGAAATTCGTCTTAAACACGTGAATCTCACAGAGAAAACTACCATAAGATATGAAATTAATCTGAAAACAGAAGAAATCGTAGAAACGAGCACTTACTTGATCAAAGTTGGAACAAAGTTTGCGATGGTGGACGCGGCGGTGCTTACGGCTGAGAGGAAATCGGAAGCGGAGACAGAAAGGGTGAGAGCATAATGTGAAACTTTGCAAATGAACCCTAGAATCCTATTTATAAACCAGCACGAAAAACGAAACGACACATCGAGTGATCTGTCAGCGTTCCGTCTCTCCGTCGCCATACGCCTAGCTCATCATGACCCCTACTCCCTAGGCCATCATTTCCTCCTAAATGTTACGCCACATGGCCTACGAAGCAAACTTCCATAATCTTTTCGGCCTTCCCGTCAGTCGAAGAACATAGGAACGTTCCCCGTGAGCATGCTCCAACTCCCGCCCAAAGAAATACCCATATAAAGTCGACCATGTTCCAGACGACCATGCTGTCCTAGCACACACTAGGCCAAAGCTGACGCCCGAGGAGCCACGTCTCATCGAGCGCACGAGCTGACCATAAAGTCATAACTCCTTCACTTAGGAGCAATGACTTGGGGGGCTCCTGTTCTGGACTGGGTCCGCATTTGGCCCAAACGTCATACAAGGTCCAATCCAACTATGCTGCATAAGAAGCCCAACAAGACTAGACATTGCCTGTGGCCCTCCGTCGGGCAGGATCCTTACTTTCTCGACTACTAGGAAGGTCGACTATGTGCCTTATACGACCATGATCGTGGTACATACCTCACTTCCGCGCTCACACCGAGGGCTTGTCTGTCACGTGGCCTTTAAGGACATCCTCGACACACAGTAGTCGAGGACGCTTACCCCTGGTGCCCTCCAAGACGCGTCCTCCTCGTAGGGAACACAACCAACGTCCCTTTGAATGTCCTGGAGTCCTCTTGACCCCGAAAATACCGCGTTCATCACCTCCCTGGTTTTTCGGGACACTTCACCTAGGATAGAGACCACATACTGGTCTCCACTACACACGTAGGTCTTGGCACTCTCCATTTTGGGCTTGCCCAACCGGCCCAGTATGGGGATCTTGGCCCAACACTGAGAGCTATAAATACCCTCTTCCACTAGAGGGTCAGGTATTCATTCATTCACTCTTTCACCCTCTGCTTGCAGTTTGCTTTGAACCTTACTTTGGCATCAAAGTGTCTTGCAAGGATCCCCACCCCTCCTTCACTTCAATAGTCGTACGAGTCAATTATTGTGGGTCATTACAGATCATTCTGATCAGGTACGATCAAGTAACATGTTTTTTCAGCTTTAAAAAAATGGATTATTTTCTTTGTATTTTTTAAAATAGATTTTTCAAAACCATTTTTCAAAATATTAGAAGTTATTTTATATTCATTTTTTCTAAATTGAAACACTAATTTAGACATTCTATAACACAAACATATATTATTGAAGACTAACGCATAGTCAAAATCGCAATTTTTTCAAAAAGTTGTATTTCAAAAATATTTTTTTATGAAAATTAATTTGAAATAACTTCAAAGTTAAGTGAGTTTTTAAATTTTAATATCTAAAAAAAGTTTGAATAAGAAGATGAAATACCTAAAATACTATTTTAAGAAAACTATTCAAACCAAATTTTTAATTAAAATTTTTATGATAAATTTTTTTAAAATTTTTTTTACACAAAATTATATAACACTATAAAAATCATTTAAAAAAAAAAACAAAACAAACTTACCCTAGATTTCATTATGCCTTTCACCATCATTACCCTATTGAAATGGTGCAATATAAAACTAGATTTTTTTCAATTGTGACAAAATAAATTTGTGAAATTATCAAAACCTAACCAATAGAAAGATGAAGCAAGTTAAAACTGGCACACATGAATACGATATTTCTATAACTATTAACTGATCTGAATTAATAAAAATTGATACCATTTTATCTATATATGTTTATGAGAAGACATATGATACACAAACCACATTACGACGAAGTAAATAAAAAGGAAGACGAAGAACCTCTCCCAAAGGCCATATAATCACAAGAGATTCAAAGTGTAATAGAATCTTAGGCTTTTTAAATTTTATTTGCACTACTTCATTGCTTTTCTCATCCAGCCTCTATTCCAACTTATCTTCTAGCAAAGTATCCAAAAAAGAAAGAAAATGGAAAGAAAAAAAAAAGTTATGTTACCAAAAATAATGGTGAATATGGGTTTTTTACTCAATAGATGAATCTAAATAAACTCAATTTTATTATATTTTTAAAAATTTAATGGGGTCCCAAAAATCATGTGCTAGAAACAATCATTTATGTGCATTTGAGCTATCTATCATTCAGCCTCCTAACAAATCGTCCCTGCCACACCACAAAGGTAGATGTGTTATCTTAATTGTGATTAACATAATCAACCTACAATCCTTTTTTTTTTCATACATGAAAATGATTAAATTAATTCCCTTTATGAGTAGTAATTTAATCGGAAAAGAATCTGAAGAGACTAGCACATTACATAAAGAAAACCTAAACATTGGTGCAGTAACTAAAAACAATTTGAAATAGAAAGATCCTCAAAAGTTGGACATAAAGTGACCAACAACCACGAACGGGTCCACTCTCCATAACAAAAAAAGAAACTATCATGACAAATCTCATTATCCAATTATCACAACCATATCATAACCTAGATTTCCTATCTCTTTTTTTCTTTCATCTTTTAACTGTCTTCAAGTGATTCATCATACCTTCATTCTTGGCCGTTGATCTGCGTTGACTTTTCTAACTTGATATCTTATTTTCTTAGAGAAGAGACGCGTGCGGCGCTTCTCTTTATAGCGCTGCACACTCGCTTCTCTCACCCCTCCTCCGTTTTCCCACAATAAATCAATTTGTGACAACCGCGCCTGTCTTCCACAAATAAAACAAATTTACTATATAAATATATGACAGTATCAACGTAAAACCCTATACAAAATACACAAAGACAGTGTAATTGTTTTTATATGATAACATAATGAAAACAATTAAATCTAATAAGAGAATGTTTCTATTTTTCTGTGAAATAAATAAATCAATATCTTAGAAAAGTAAATAAAGTAAAGATGAATGGAGCATGACATGCATGAAATACTTTACTATTTTAGTTTCAAAAGGTGTTATTCCCATATTCCACGTGACCAAAATCTCACCGAGGAGTCCAATTTCAAACATTTTTTATTTACTCCAAGTGATTATTATAAATTTTCAAAACAAAACAAGAAAATAATGTTAAATTTTGTGTTAATACTACTTGTTCATGAAACATGTGAAGGATTAAGGAATGTCGGAAAACACAACATTGAAAGAAAACAAATTGATTGAATTTGTTAAGGTTTAAGAGAAACATACATTTACGTCGTTTCCCGATACATCGGAAATAGGGCTGTCGTCGGCGAACGGTGTTCCCCGGCCGGACCACGCTTTCCGAACACCGTCGTAATTCAATTTCAACAACAAACCACTTTTCGCCTTCGGCAATTCCGTTTCTTTCGACACCTCGCTCTGTTTCATGACCACAACCACTTTCTTCTTCTTTTTCTTCTCCGTCGCCGGCGGCGGCGTTTTAGCACCGACACTGCAAATTTTGGGCGAAATTTTAAGCATATCAACCGCCGGAAAATTCCACCAATTACCTTCATCAACATGACGAAGAGCTCTCACTCCAGGTCTCTGTAAACCTAACCGGAAATCGATTTTCCCGCCAAAACCAATCCATGGATGATGAGAAGATGAAGAACCAGCGTTAGATTCATCTTCCGGAATTCTCCCTCCCATGATACTATCGATGCCTTGTTCAATTTCCTCATCGAGAATCGATTCCGCATCGAAATCATCTTCCTCGTTCAATTCGAGTAAATTGACCATTGAACTTATCTCTCCGGGACTCTGACATGGTTTCACCGGCTTAGGCTCGGACGGAAACACTTGCTTGTGAAGTAAAAAAGATGAAGACGAATTTAATACTCGAAAAGGTAATAGAAGTTCTGAGGAATCGGATTCGTAAGTTTTTTCCGATGATAATAACGGTTTATGGAATTTGTTATTAGGGTTGGGATTGGAGAAGAGGATCGGGTAAGCGGTTGAGAGGAGCGTTGCGGCTTCGTTGTAGGTTTGGTTGGGTCGTTTTCTCGAGGTTCTAGGTTTTGTGGTGTAGATTGCGAGTGGCGAATTGCTTGATTCGGAGATTGTTGAAGACGGTGAAGAAGATGTTTGTGATGTTCTACTCCATGAACATGGTGGTGATTTAATTAAATCTAAGTCTAACCCGTAGGTTCTTGCTCCGGTTCCACTCAAACAAGAAGACATTTTAATTGTTTTCAATGAAGTCGGTGTATTCTAATAGAAACAAGAATCGAACATGTTAAAGTGCGGGGCATAAAGAAAGATGAAAAACCCAAGCGATAAAAGAAATGAAGAAAAGGCCAAGAAAAGAAAGAAGGTGATGCAAAGTGGCAGAACCGAAATAGGGGTTGGCCGAGGAGAAAGGAAAGTACTGATAGGGTGTGAAGGAATGGAAGGTTTATGAGAGCAATGAAATGAACACGTTAGAGGAGTGTAATTATAAGAGTTATAAGTGAGATGGAGACAGAAGAGAGAGAAGGGGGTCACGGGAGAAGAAGTAAAAGGGAAAGAACTGTTGTTGAGTGAGTCTGTAAATATAGTGAGAGAGAGAGAGAGGGGAATTGGGCAACACAGAATTTGTAACTTGTATGAGAGAGAGAGAGAGAAAGAGAGAATTGCAGAGGGGAGAAGTCTACCAAGGCAGATGAGAACGGAGGAAGAGACAGTGTTCAGTTTCTGTTGTTCCTAATGTAGGACCACTCAAATTTATCTATCCACTCTTTTTTACCACTCTTCAATTATTCTACCTTGTTCTTTTCCTATAATGTCCTTCCTTTCTGCTTTTTCTTTTTTTAATTTATAGCCTCTTTTTTCTAAAACTTGGTACTCCTATGTAGTTTGGTTTTATAAAATTTAATATCTGATTATCAGAACCACTTGTGATAAAAATCGGAGGGCAGACAATCTAATAGAATTCAAATTTTAAAATTTTGAAAGAGAGATTTCTTTTGATGATTTTTCTTTTTTAAACTTTAAATTGTTAGAACAACCCCTTGGAGGTTTTAGAGCACTTAATTAATTTATGCAAATGGTGATGAGAATTTCATTGATAAGTGAATTGCTAAAAAAATCATTAGTAAATGCATTATTGTTGATTGGTATTGATGAATGCATCATTTGCTACAAAATATTTATCAAATTATGAAAATTGAAAGTTAGACTTCGCTTCATTAAAGAGTTGGATTTATCGAAAGTTAAAGTGAATTCTATCAAGTGTTGATGAGATGATTATTACTGAAAGAGCGGCAAATATGATCACCTTAATTATAGTTAATTAAATCATCAATTAAGTCTAAAGTGTTGGAGAGGTGAAAATTTCTCATTGCTATCGTGAAATTAATTTTTGTGCTGACGCTTTAATCAAATTTGAAGCCACCAGTAACATAAATTTCTATTTTAAGAATGATTATTCAATGTTTATTTCTCATTTACTTAATAATGATATTCTAGAGATTTCTATTTCGAGGTTAACTTCGGTGTAATCTCTTTTCTTTTGGGCCTCTAGTCTTCCATTAAAAAAATGTTGATATCATTCTTATTCAAGTTTTATTAATCTATCGAATCAAATTATTAAGGCAAATTATTTATTTTGGTCTCTTAACTATATTCTTGAATTTGAATGGTTCCTTAATTTTTTTAATATCGCTTTAGTCTCTTAACTTTCAAAATATTTTATTTTAGTTTTTTTTATATAATTAATTATGAAAAAACTTAGAAATCGATCACTAAATTTACCGTTAATTAGACAAAAAAGACTAAAATAAAATATTTTAAAAATTAATAATTAATATGACAAAAAAAAAATTAAGATATCATTGTAAACTCAAAAATATATTTAAAGGACTAAAAACAATTATTAAATTGTACTTGGAAGAATTAACGTTTTTTAATCTCTTTTTTTTTTCTAATGATGTTTTGAATAAATAATTGATTAAAAAATTATCAAGATTTTTAGTAGGGTACTATATTGCTTAAAAAATATAGGACTACTATTTTTAAAAATAGTATTATAGTTACAAAACTAGGATATTCTAAATATGAGAATAAACAATTACATATTTGAATTTGCACCTTAAATCATTTTAGTACTTTTACAGATTTTAACTATCTAAAATTATATTTATATATAGTTCTGCATATCTTATTAATTTTAACTTTTTTTGTAATTTAATGTAATTTAATTTTGCATATGTAATAAAATTAAACAATATTATAGTATTTGATAAAAATGTCATTCACTTTTTGTTTTTGTTAAGGTAGTTAGTGATTATTAACGACTATAATAATATTTAAAACCATTTTTTATAAAAGAGTGAGGCAAAGTAATAAAATTTATTAGTATAACATACTCTATCTGAATATAAGTGTAATTATTTTTTATTTATTTCATGTACAGTCAAATCAAAGTAAAACTTACTAGTGCTTTAATTTTTTATTATAAATCGTATCATAAAAAAAACTTTGTAAAACTTAAAAAAGAAAAGTCATAATATATTTACTACTATATAAATTGCATTATATATAATATTTCTGGAAATTTAACTTGGATAGTTTAGAAAATCGAGTAAAGAAACTGTTTAGTACCTTTAGGATAATTTCAACCATACCCAAAAACTGCAAAAAGTTATTTAGGATATATGGGAAAGGCTCTTATCTAATGACATGGCAATATTTGATTGGATGTTTAGGATTTTCAGTGCTTACATGGTATGAGATAGTGGTTCATCAGTTTTCACGTGTATCAGTGAAAGAGGTGAAGAAATTTTGGACGTGTTGTATGAACAATGATTCCGACCTTTTTGTTCTTTTTCGCAATCTAATCTATGGCTTCTCAACTATATACGTTGCTAGTGTTATGTTCAATAACTCCTTTGTTATCGATTCAAATTCTTTGTTTAATCCATTTTGTTGTTATTATAAGATTTTAAATTTTCAGACTTTGATTGCGATAAAATTGTACGGAAATTTATTTTTCTGTAAGTTGTGTGTTTTTACTTGTCTTGTTTTATTTGGTTATTTAATCATTTTCGTGCGTTATTCGCATGCCAATATTAAATCATTTAATTATAATTCATGACTTCATTTCAATCCGATTACTATGCATTGTTAAATAGTATTATGTTGATTATTCTCTCCATTTTAAAATAAAAATAAAAATAAAAAATAAAACTAAATGTTTATCCGCTCAATGTTCAAGAAGATTTTAAAAAAAGTTAGTGAAAAATATTTTCATATATATTTAAAATAGTTTTGTAGGAAATATTTAAAAAAAATTAAAGTTATTAGTGAAGTGAAAGGGAATTTTTTATAGGTTTAACTCTTTCAATTTTTTAGAGTAATATTGTAATATATTATAAACTTGTTAAGGGCGAGGAAAGCAAGGTCGAAAAGAAGGCACATGATGTGAAGGAGCACGTTTCCAGCGTCGAGAACTCGCACCACAAGAGGAAGAGCAATTATAGCTCGGTCATAAAGCATGAGTCGACGTTCAAAAGGATAGGTAAGGTGATAGAGAACTTTACACCTCTGAGCACTCTTCCTGAGCAAATATGGTGTAAGGTAATCCACTTGTGCAACATTCTTACGCCGCCTGCCCTTAAGGAGGATGTGATGGGTTTTGAATCAGAAAGATGGTGCAAGTTTCATAAAGTAAAGGGACATCACACCTAGGACTGCTATAAGCTCAAGAAGGAAATTGAGAGACTAATACAGGAGGTACACCTCAATAAATATGTAAAAGGTGACTCCTCTCATTCGTTAGACAAGTCTATCTCGAGTGGGTGAGACGATGCTGGGAGCCCTAAGCCCAACAAAGCCAAAGAGGCGTTACAGGGAGATGACAACAAGGTTACGCGTCATACGTTTAAAACTATAGTTGGAGGGTTTGCCTGAGGTATGGAAACCTGCTCCACCAGAAAAAGGTAAGCTCGTCAGACCTTGAGTGTAGAAAACCTCCTTAAGATCAATACTGAAGGCGAGCTCCGAGCCCTGGAAGCCACAGTCGCCTTCTCGGGTAAAGATGCAGCTGGCATTCACCATCATAATGATGATCTTATGGTCATTGCCATCAAATGCAAATACTAGGATATTAAAATAGTTCTCGTCGACCATGGGAGTTCTATAGACATATTATACTAGGAGGCATTTGAAAGACTTCACCTCGACCCAAAAGAAGTAAATCCCATTAGAGAATAATTGGTTGGATTCTATAGATAACATGTACATGTAAAGGGATATATCACCTTTGGAGAAAAAGACCAAGCTAAGGAGATAAAGGTTAGGTATCTGGTTATCGATGCCCCTCTTCATATAATATGATTATAGGATGACCAACCTTTAACCGCATAGACACTGCCTTGTCTACTCTATATTTGTGCATGAAGTACTCGCTCCCCACTAGGCGAGTAGGGTTTATCCAAGGAGATTAGGAGAACGCCAAAAAAATGTTACCCATAAAATCTCAGGTTGAAAAGAATCTACACTCATGGTGGGAAAGTCAAAAAGATAAGCTCCGAAATAAAGCCACCAGAGGAACTCCACATGGACAAGGATACATCCTCCCCGACCTATGAGGAGACTAAAGGCTAAATATTCAAGAGATATACCCCCTAAAGACGTCAACATAGTTTCCATTTGTTTTTTCTTTAATAGTTTTTTATTATTTTATTTGTATGAGTGAGTATTGTATATCTGCCAATTGTAATGAACAAGTTACTTTTGGGGTGAACTCTTTTCTCTTTTTACGCTCATACAAGAGGCGGGGGTTTTTAATGAGAAACCTCACTTTACATTATGTTAAGGTATGAATGTTTGACTATTCATTTCTTTGAAGGAAACTTAAGAGTTCAGAAGAAGATTGGCCAATTAGGCGATCAATCATTGGATACTTAAGTGAGATCTTTTCCGCCTAATGAGACAGTTAAACGCTGGATCTTTAAGTGGGATTGAAATTATGTTCCTCGCATGATAGATGTCAGACATAATGTCTAATATTTATGTGTAACACTAACACTTGAGAGTTTAACAGAGACAATATGATAAATCATAAAGAAATAAAGAACAATGGAATTGATAACCCAGTTCGGTGCAACCTCACCTTTGTATGAGAGGCTTCCAAACCTGGAAATAAAATTCACTCTTATTAGTGTTAGTACAAAGTGTCTTAGATGAACAACCCCTAGTTCAATACTTCTCTTCTTAATATTGTTGGTGTAAGCCCTAGAGGCCAATGCTTTTGGTACTTGTATAGAATTATTTATTAATAAATAAAAGGAATTTCTTTATTATGTTTCCTTTTCCAAAATAATAAAGTCCCTATAATAGTTCGTCTGTTTAATGAAATGTTAAGTGTGACTTAATCATGAGATCTCATTAAACATATGGACAATATTCTTAACGTATCCGTAATCGAGATTTATTGCGAAGTGGGATAATATTAAAGCATTGAGATTATTATGTAGATAGAATGATGATCATATCTCATGGATCACAAATAAGGAGTTATCAAGTCTTGACATAGGTATGAATATTAGGAGATTGACCCGCTATGAGAATACTACATAGAATGTTATGCAAGGTGTCATAAGTTATTCTCATGGTGA